TAAAACTCTACTTAAGACCGTACTTAAACGATCTTGAATATAAGAACGGACTATGAATACCGGCCTATGATGTAAACTATAGATTTTCAGTACTAGCAGTGAATCTTAATACCATAGACTACGTCCACACGTGACCCTTACTACAGCCTTTTATACGCACTGGGTTGCGAGGTATGGTGCTCCTCAGACGATCACAACCGATCAAGGTCCTCAATTTGAAGCTGCATTATTTAGGGCTCTCACCAACCTAATTGGTTGCGAGCGTATTAGAACATTAGCTTATCATCCGGCTTCTAATGGTATCCTGGAACGATGGCACCGTACATTGAAGAGTGCTATTACGTGTTACGCAAATGAACACTGGATTGAGATATTGCTAACAGTTTTACTTGGACTTCGTACTTGCTTTAAAGAAGATTTGAATGCATCCCCTGCGGAAATGCTTTATGGATCTTCATTAAGAATTCCTGGATAATTTTTCATTCAACAGGATCTTCCATCTGACCCTGAAATTTTTATTGAAAAACATAGGATACATATGAGAGAGATTAAATCAAGACCTACTGCATATCACCACAAAAAAACACCTTTCTTTCATAAACATTTATATGATTGTACTCACGTTTGGCTTCGTGAAGATGCAGTTAGAAAATCTCTTTAATCTCCTTATTCTGGTCCTTTTCGCGTTGTTAATAAAAATAATGATAATTTATTTGCAATCAATGTTTCAGGAAAATTTGTTAATATCACCACAGAACATCTCAAACCAGCCTTCCTACCGAAAGAAACCAGCACTGATTTCATTGTCATGACATCTCCTTCTTCTTCTAATTCACCTCAATCAACTACACTCGGAAAACACCTCAAAACATATTCTGGCCCAAAGAAGAAAGTTAAATTCGCAACGTAGAACGTCGCTGGGAGAGGAGTACTGTGGCGTCCCTGCAGACTTATTCAAGAACATTCTATTACCAACTTCATAAAATACATTTATAACTATATTTTCATACATCTTATTTATTGATCAAACATTATACATAGCGACTTAAAAACATAACAAATCTTTATACATTCATTCGGTGACCAACAAAGTTGGCTGCATAAAGTTTAAAGGAAGAAGCTTGAGTTTTTAATACCTAAAAAATTAAGCCCTGAAGTTTTATCAGTTATAATGAGGCGATTGTTAGGTAAACCGTTGTCAGCCGCCTCACAACTCAACGGTGAAGCTAATTTTCCTGCTTTTCGATAAGAGATTTAGACATGTCACAAGATATAGTACATTTATGAGCTTTAGCACCAAATTTTTTGTGGTAAAAACAAATTTTTTGGTTATCTTTATCAAATTTATTTTCAGAAGATGATCTGAATCTTCTTTTTACTTTGTATCTGAATTTTTATCTACTACGTACACGTTTTACTTGTAGAGCTGCGATTCTACATTCGAGATCAGCAAGATTCGATGTGTTTTTCTCCACAGGGGAAGCTATTGTCGCTACTTGAAGGCTAGTTTCACGATCCAAAATTTTATCAGTTAATTCAGCAAGCTTTTGATTGAAGGGCAATCTTCTACTACCGCTAAAGTGGCTTGAACTTGAGAAGGTAATCTTTGCAACCAAATAGAATGTAATACATTTTCTGAAATTGCTCCTTCCGCTAATTGTTTAATTTCACGTAGAAATTCTGACGGTCTTTTGTCATTTAATTCTATACCAGCTAATAATTGACGAAGACGTTTTTTTTCAGAATCAGTAAATCGTTTAATTAAAATGTTTTTAACACGAAGATATTTATCTTTTTCAGGAGGATTCTCAATTAACTCAGCGATAGCTAATAAAGCTTGTTCATCCAGATGCCGTATGACTGAGCTATACTTAACATCGTCTGAGCGGATCCGAAAAACTAAGAATTCTCTTTCCAATTGAGCAAACCACAATTTAGGCTGCTTATGCCAAAAATTCAGCGATTTAATAAGGCGGAATTCATTGGAATGGATCTCATTTGGCTAACCTTGTTGATGCGTCCAAAAACAACGTGTCCAATTGAACGGTGCACAAATGAAATGTGTCCAAACGAATTGTGCGCAATTGAAATGTGTCCAATCGAACGCGCAACTTCTTTATATGTCTAATATCACAGTGTGCAATTGCAACGTATCCAATTGTACTGTGCGCAAGTGAAGGCTTCTCACCTCGAGATGTTTGTACGCGGTTTTGGTCAATGGGTAGCGTCTTCCTAAGATTCTGAGCGGTCGCGCGATTGAGACATCCGTGTCGCGTCTAGACGTCCGGTCGCGATCTCCTATTTCTGATTTAAAACTAAAATTTATGTGCGCAAATGAACTGTGCGCGAAAGAAGTGTGCGCAAAAGAAATGTGCGCAAAAGAACTGTGCGCAAAAGAACTGTGTGCAAACGAGCTGTGTGTAAACGAACTGTAACAAACGTTTATTTACCAAATAAAGTTAATAATAAATGTCAAAAAATTTCAAAATTATACATGCATACATGCGTGTGTATGTATTCCAAATTATACAAAAATATGTGTTGTGTCCAAAAACAACGTGTCCAATTGAACGGTGTGCAAATGAAATGTGTCCAAACGAATTGTGCGCAATTGAAATGTGTCCAATCGAACGGTGCGCAACTTTATATGTCTAATATCACAGTGTGCAATTGCAACGTGTCCAATTGTACTGTGCGCAAGTGAAGGCTTCTCACCTCGAGATGTTTGTACGCGGTTTTGGTCAATGGGTAGCGTCTTCCTAAGATTCTGAGCGGTCGCGCGATTGAGACATCCGTGTCGCGTCTAGACGTCCGGTCGCGATCTCGTCTGAAAATATGCAGGCGATAAGAAAAACGACGCTAGCGGATTATTAGTTCGAATAAACGTTCAATAGCTGTAGGATGTACCGAGGGGTTAATAAGATTTTAATGTGTCAGGAATAAAGGCGTGAAGGAATTTGCTAGAACTGGTTGTTTATTAACAAACGATATTTGTATCTATCGCAACTGTAACACTAATGATTGAATCTCGCGTATCAAATACTTAACGGGCGCTCACGCGAATAGCGAGGAAGAACGCACGGAGAAATAAGTAAACGGTCTTAACTGTATGAGAGCCGGAACACGAGTCTTACTCATTGTCCTGTTTAGCTCTTTTAGCGTATCCCGCGCTATCCTCGCGGTCTCGCTTGGTTAGCCTCGATCGATCGTCAAACAAGTGCTGCTGTTGCGGTAGCCTCCCCATTGTCGCGTACATTATCGCTCGTTTTTTTTCGTTCGTAGGCTTCGGCGTTCTCCGTTGACAATGAAGCGCTTTACTGATGGATGGTCTTTATATACTCGCGTAGAGATCGCTTAATCTTAACATTTCGAGGAAGTCCGATATCGTGGAGATATCTCGGCCAACCCGATTTTAGCTTAAGGCTGGGATATTCCGTGAGGTAGATCGAATCGTCCGCGAATAATCCACGCGCCGCAAAGCGCAGAGAACCGCGCGCGCGGGGTCGATTGGCGCGACGCTCGTCGTAGCGGGCGCTGCGGTGGTCGCGGGAGTCGCCGTCGGATAGTTTCCGTCGCCGTGAGACCCGTGCAGATTCTGTATAGCGAGAATATCCTCTATGCTCAGCTTAACCGGAAATTGATTCTCGATGTCGGGTATATACGGGAACATTATCGAGTCGTTGCGCATGCTGTGTTGTAGACCCAAAGCGTGGCCGATCTCGTGCGTCAGCGTTTGCAACAAATGATGCGTGTTGGGAGGATTTTTATTTAGATACACGTGCCACGGTTCCGAATCGTCAACGTGTAGCTCCGACGCGAAATCGGTCGCTCCCGAGGGAAAGAACGCATGAGCTAGGGCTCCCCCGGGACCGTCGAAGGTCGCCGCGCAAACGCCGATGTTCCGGCGATTCGCGTAAGTGTGCGCGCCCGTTCGATACGATATCAGTATATCGGGTCGCAGCGGGTCGCGCGCGAAGGTTAGCGATGAATTCACCGCTCATAACGCGAACGCCGCTTCGGCCGTTCGCGAGAGTTCCTCGCCAGCTAGCTGAAAGTTCCACGTGAGATGCGTTTTCGGCCATTTTCGCGCGATCAGGCTATACGCGCGATCGAGAATGTCCGCGAGACCGCATCGCGATTTGCGCATAAGGCTAAGCGTAATGGCGTCTAACGCGCCGTTTCCCGATAATTGATAGTATTCCTGAAACAGCAACAACGCGCGACGCAGAGATGTCGCGTTATCGGACGACAGCGATTCTCTGTCGTCCTTCAGAAAACCGTACGCGCGCAGGAAGCGGAGCGCCTCGGCCTTCTCCGAGTCAACGGGCGTGGCGGCCGTCGCGACGACGAGCGTCGTCGCTAGAACGAGAAGAACCGTCCTCGCGTTAGTCATTGCGCGGAGCGGGGAAAGACGCGGGAAACTATCGAGAGACGCCGGGCGCGATTGATTCGCGCGTTCGGCAAGATGCCTATTTTTATCGTCGGCGAATTCGTCGCGGGTGGGAGAGGGGGAAATGCGATTCGTTCGAAAAAGAGTCGCCGCGCCGTTTCCCGATAATTGATAGTATTCCTGAAACAGCGACAACGCGCGACGCAGAGATGTCGCGTTATCGGACGACAGCGATTCTCCGTCGTCCTTCAGAAAACCGTACACGCGCAGGAAGCGGAGCGCCTCGGCCTTCTCCGAGTCGACGGGCGCGGCGGCCGTCGCGGCGACGAGCGTCGTCGCTAGGACGAAAAAAACCGTCCTTGCGTTAGTCATTGCGCGGAGCGGGGAAATACGCGGGAAACTATCGAGAGATGCCGGGCGCGATTGATTCGCGCGTTCGGTGAGACGTCTATTTTTATCGTCGGCGAATTCGACGCGGGTGGGGGGAGGGGGAAATGCATCGACGATTCGTTCGAGGAAGAGTCGCGGCCCGCCTCGATTAGAGGGACGCGCCCTTTCGACGACGAGCGAACATCGGTCGAGCGTCCGGGACGCGCGACATCTAGCGGACGCTCGAGTTCCTCTCGCGGTTTTACTTTTTTATTATTTCTATTTTCATTATTCGTTTATCCTCTAAGAAGGACATTCGACGAGCGATTAGAGAAACATACCCCTTCCGGCGACGATAAACATTCATCGAGTATCCGGGATGCGCGTTATTTAGCGGGCGTTCGAGTCCCTCTTATCGTATTATTCTTTGTTATTTTTTCCTCTATAATCTATTTTTATTACTCGTTTATCTCCGCTCGTACCGCGGCATCTGCGCGACAATCCTTATAAACGCGAGATCGTTTCGAGAAGCGTCAAAGTATTCTCGTTCGCGAGATAGCGAAGTGACGAGGCGACGAAGCGTGAAACAGCGAAGAGCAAAGTGGCGAGGTGCGAAATAGCAAGAGTTAAAATCGGTCGCGAACTGCTCGATATGGAACGAATCGAGCAGATAATTAACGCGGCCGATTGCATTAATGTAAACAGAGATTTAATCGCGATAAAGTCCTACGTTTTGGGAGATCTCGCCTCGGATCTGCGCGAGGAGGCGCGAGGCGTTATCGAGAACAGTCCGGATTCGTTCAGACTCACCTTTCATTTGGACGGAGACATCGATATCGCGCGTTTAATGTAAGTATTCGATCGGAATTTTTTATAATACTTTTTATAATAAATTATAATCTTTTAATAACTCTTTTACTCTTTTACTTTAGACAACAGATAGAGGACTGCATAAGAATGGCGCGAGAATCGCTCTACGATTTAGTGACGAAGACGAGAACTATGCTCGCGCAGGCGCAAAACGTTCACAGCGCGTTGCGCGACGCTCGCCGACGCGACGTCGCGCGAGCCCCCGAGCAATTCGAGTTTCGCGATCGCGACTTCGCCGTCCCTGAGTTGATCGACAGGCTTCACGGACGCGAGGATAGGCGAGTCGTCGCGTCACCGACCGACAAAGAGCCCGAATCGCGGCCGATCGACGAGGAGCCCGAATCGTGACCGATCGACAAGAAGCCCGAATCGCAGCTAATCGGCGAGGAGCCCAAATCGCAGCCGATGGAGGACGAGGCCGAACCGTCGACGGTCGACGAGGGTGAACCGCCAGCGAGTGTACGATTGGAGGATTACGAGCCCGAATCGCAGCCCTTCTTCGAGGTGTAACTTTACAATTTACTAATAAAATTTGATTTTTGTTTGTACTTATATACTTCGTGTATCGTACGCGCGCATTTGTAAAATGTGATTTTTTTACGAATAAATGCTATATATTAAACGAAGAGTCGATTCTTTTCGCTTCTCAAAATATATAATTAAATTTATAGGTTATATAATTGATGATAGATTCGATACATTATATAAAGCTTAAAATAAAATTAAATTTATAGATTAAATAATTGACTCGATATATTATATAATATATGATGATGCATAATATACAATAATTCAATATAATTTATAATACAAACGAGTAGATATAAAGTAATATAATATAGAATCAATCACACATATTACGCAAATGATCGCATCGTTTGAACCACCAATCGTGCAATTTACAAGCGTTCTCTAACGCGCAATTCTTCGCGTGATATCCGCAGCGAAAGGCCCGCGAAGCGTTTAGAGTTTCCAAACGTCCGATATCCTCGTGCAGTGATGCCAGTTTTGAGACGCTGCCACAGCCACAGCGTGTGGAGGGGATAACTCACACAAGCGTGAACCGTGTACGTGTAATGCGCAGAACGCATTACATGTACACGTTTCACGCTTGTGTGAGTTATCCCCTCCACACGCTGTGGCTGTGGCAGAATCTCAGAATTGGCATCTCTGATCGGTGGGCGAAAGATTTGAAATCGTTGATCGACGAATGAGTTACCGCCGATAAGTCCCATCCGGCGTTCTTTAATATCTTGCCTTTTTCGACTGTCAGCAACGCGTAATTCTTGATCGTGCTTGTTATCCCAACGTTTCTGCTTCGATCGATCTCCACACCGTCGAGCTCGTAGTGAATCTCCTCGAACGTAAACGCCGCGCAATTGTTCACCAGCCTCGTCACCGACGCGATTTCCTCCCGCGCACTCGGTGACTCCTTCGACTCGAGTCTACCTTCGATGTAGAGAAAACTATCGCACGGTAACGTGTACAGATCTTGCTGTTGTATAGGAATTCGTATCTCGTCGCTATTCCCGAACGTAGTATTGGCGTAAGGATTGTACGTGTGAGTTTCGATCTTGAAGATACGATCGTCGAAGATCGGCTCCCCGCCGATGCTTAGAATGTCGCACATTCCGCTTTTACGGAGAAACGGTTCTCGGTACGACGAAGCCCAAAGAGCGCAGGAAAGCCGTGTTGGCGACGGTTAACCTTCCTCCCTTTTTCTTTCTTTTTTTCGCGTCTAGGGGCGACGCGATAGCGACGACGGGCGCGTTTCTCGCATTCGATCCGTTCACTACGAGCATCGCGCGCCTTTCTACCATCTTCGCCGCACGTGCAGACGAACCGTGACCTCTTCGCCACGAAAATCGATTAGTCTTCCGTTCTGATCCACGACACGCACATTTATAGCCATAATATTTATTGGTTTACCGGACGCCTAGCATTTATTCGATTGTAACATGCGAGACGAGAAACCCAGTAGCGAACCGATGTTATCGGGTTTTGTGAAATTTACTCGATACGCGCACTTGATCTCGCTTTTCATAGTGTTATCGTTACCGCGAAGCGTTATAGAGTTTTCACTCTTATCACCGTTCTCATCGTCGTCGAAATAGTCGTCGCGGTCGTCGCCGACGTTGTATATTTAATCGTCATCGCTCATTTCCGGTTCCTCGTTCCCGCGCTCTCGTCTCTCCTCTCTCGCTCGTCGTTTGCGATGAATCGCGGCTCTTAGGGTGCGTTCCGTTATGCACTGCGAATACTGTAGTTGTGACGTTATGTAAGCGTACTGCGAATAGCGTTCCGTTTTAATTTCGTGTACTTTGAAGCTGTTGAGAACTTGTAAAACGGAACGCACTCGCAGTACGCTTTCAGCAGCTCGCATCTCGCATCCAGTGTTGTAATAACCTATCTATTGTTTTGCTTATAGTTTTATAAAAAATGAATGAAATGAATAAAAATATAATTGCATTAATTACGCATACACTAATAGAAAATATAGATGACTCGAGTGATTCTAGTAAAGACGAGTTAGATACAGAAATATTGAAAGAATTAAACCGGCGAACTCGAGTACCGAGAATACGATGCAAAAATTATGTTGAAAATATCGTATCTTCATATTCGGATATGGAGTTTAAAACTCATTTTAGGTAAGTTGTTAAACATAAAACATAATAAAATATGAAAGATTAAAAATTTATAAGAGTCGTTATTTACTATGCATAGGATGAAACGCAGTACTTTTATATTCTTGTTAGAATTATTAACTCCACATCTAACAAAATCAGATTGATTAATAAAAGTGTTATCTCTAAAATATAATCTATTGAAGTTTATATTTAAATCGGGCACGAACTTATGCAATCACCTGATATATATATATTATAATATTATTAGCGTTTTGCAGGCTTTATATACACTCATGATAAGAATTTGAATACGGGTATAGATAATGAATAACGCGCCGCATAGCGATAAGCGACTGAACTATTTTATAATACTTTGTAATAAGCTGCAGATTCTGTTCGGTTTTTGCTGCCAATTTGCCATCAGATTGCGCACTTCAGACCTTGTTCAGTTTTTGCTGACAATCTGATGTCAGTCATGTCAGCAAGCTTTGCTCGGTTTCTGCCGCCAATTTGTTGTCTAGTTATGTTAGCAAGCTTTGTTTGGTTTTTGCCGGCAATCTGCCAGCTTAATCGGTAATAACAACTCTTGCACCAAATTTGTAGTCTTTTTGCTGACAATAATTTGTAGCAAGCACTTGGCAATATCTGTTAGAACAGACGTGGCTGACTGGGTCATAATTCCAAATAGAAAAATATATATCAGATATGTAATATCATATTTATATATCAAATGTTAAATATGTATACTATTTTTTACCAGTTGTTATTGTTTTTTTTAACATATAAATTACTATGTATCTATAAAAATCTGATATATTATACTTCTTTAATAAATGTGTAAGTGACAGATTTGACGTTGGGAGGGCAACAGCGTGAAGAAGCGTTAGAAGAGTAGTTTCTGCTTTGTATTCTTATTTACATATGTTTATAAAATGGCCATCACCAGAAGAAGCAAAAGCTACATGGACACTTATAAAAACCAAGTATGGGTTTTCAAAAGTAATAGGTGCAATTGACGGCACTCATGTAAAAATAGCAGCACCAAAAAAATCCAGAATGTTATATAAATAGGAAAGGCTATCAATGCGCGGATTTGTCGTTGTGATACGCTCCTGTCGTTGCACTCTACTCTAATGAGATTAATAGCCATAATATTTATTGGTTTACCGGACGCCTAGCATTTATTCGATTGTAACATTCCCATTTTCTTGTATTATTTCCCGATTTATTGTTATGGTCTTTTATAACTTTATATGTTCTTTTATACAACACTTCTGCGCACTTATATCATACCCCATTTTTTTTAATTCTTTGGAAACGGTCTCCCAACAATGTTTCACTGTGCTTTTTCTACTGTGGAAATCTTTTTCTTTACATGTATATATATCTATCAACAGCATTGTCTCCTCTTTTGTCCAATTATGCTGACCTTAATATCACAAAAAAGAATATTACTAAACATTAGATTTCACTAAATATCTCAAATAAATACTTTTATCAATTTACCTTTACATTTAGTATCCTCATTCTCTTTGTTATTTTCATTGTTGTCAGATATTGAGTTTTCACAAACTGCCGTCGTATCAGTAGTTCCTAAAATTGAATAAGAATAATCTACAAATTGAAAAGATTTAGAACTTGCTTAAAAGATAAATTTGCAGTTTCTTTAATTATAAGTGTAATATATAGATTATTTAAATTAACAATTACAGTATAAGCTCATTCATAGTAACTTTCTAATAAAATATTTAACTATTAATTTATAAAACTATAATGTATAGAAGTTAAACCTCCGGTTGCACTGATGTAATTTTGGTTTTAAACGAGACTTAAAATTTTTGGATTTTGGCAATAAGTAATGTTAAAGCCAAATAACATTGGTTATTGCTAAAAACAAAAAGTTTTAAATCTCGCTTAAAGTCAAAGTAACATTAGTGCAACCAGGCATTATAGAACTAAACACACACACACGCACACGCTTCAAAAAACTTATTATGAAAAACATGTTTCATTTGATTTTACCAATTCTGATTTCTTTGTTGGATATACAATTACGTTTTGCTTTTTCTAGTAAATTTGTTGCGAATTGTATATCTGTAACAAAAATATAAAAATAAAAAGCCTCAATTATCTTAAGTTTTATAAATTTATGAATTATGCTACAATTTTTGTATAACGTAAATATATTAATTAAATAAAAAATAAACTGTGTTAAAAGTAAATTTAATTTAGTAAATTAGAGGTATAAGCAAAAAAAATAAATTATTATATAAAATAAATTATTATATATAAAAAATTTAATCATATAAATGAAAAACTTCGTACCATTTCGGGCCCGTTCTGCGTCTTCTAAAGTAATAGTGACCATATAAGATTCATTACTTTCCGCGTCAATTAAGGTTATCTCAGTGGAGGTGGCCATCTTGATCACTAGTCCGTACTGCGAGTGCTTTACCTCGCCGGCTGAAGCAGTCGCAACAGGAAGTAACGTCAAAATTAGTGACGTCATAAATTTGTAACAGTACTATCGCAGTGTATTGCTGTCCATATCGGAACGCCATTGGCAGTACTGCTAGTATTCGCAGTGCATAACGGAATGCACCCTTAGGGTGCCATTACATGAAGCGCGGAAACGCGGATTAGCGTAACGCGGAACGATAACCTCGTCGTTGTCATCGAAGTAAAATTTATTATTCGTGGAATTTATATTCGGTATCGTGTTATAAGTCTCGAAATTGGTTAAACCTAACTCGTAATCATCGTCGTTTAAATCCAGAGGCGGAAAGTAACTCGCCGCGAGAACGCTGCTTCGTCCGGAAAGAGTAAGAGTTAGCGACATGATCGACGAGAGCGGTCGAACTGCGCTCGATCGACGAACGATGGTCGATATTATAGCCTGCGATTCCTTCAATCGCCCCCCCCCCGGAGAAATCGAAGACTCAATTGTCCGCAGATATTCTGATCGCGCGTTTGCTCGGAGCGACGATTGTATCGGATGTTCGCATCGAGCCCGAGATAACGCGCGAGTTCGCGCGGAGAACGAAGATTGCCGAAACCGTCGTAGTAGATCGCGTTGCCCCCTTTTTTCGCGTACGCCACTCAATGAGTACCCGGGCCGGATTTGTCGTCTAAATTCACGATGCCGCTCTCATCGCGGCGCGCCCGCGATGGAAACGCGTCGCGCATAAACACGCCTCTAAAGTGAGGCACGCGTGAGAGTCGCAGCGCGATTTAACTGTTCGTTCGTCGTTACTCCGACGGATGGGAGGATCCGTAGCGTCTGTTTACGCAAAGTTTTTTTTAGCTCTTCCTCTTCTTCTCGTCGCGTTCCGCGCTTGTACGTTGCGAGGTATAAACCACGATCCTCCATTGCGTCATCGTGACGTCGCAGTTCCTCCAAAGATTAATGGTACTTCTTTTTGGTCAACTAAGCACTGTACTGATACCGCGTTTGCCACGCATGCGCAAAAAAACCCGGCCCGAACAACAACACTGGTCCAGAGAATTGATGCCTCGATCGCCTCGTGCGAATCGTTTCGCGAAACGGGTACCCGGCCCGCAAAATTGATATCCGGGTATGTGTAGTTCGAAGGGGAGCGCGTTTATCGCTCTGTTCAATAAGCCGGCGCCGCCGATATCACCGATTACACCGTACCGCCGTTCGCGAATTGCATTCGCCGCAATCTTTAACGAGCAGCGCCGGGCCGTCGATGTGCGTTCATTGCCAGGGACGATTGTAATGCTCCAGACATCGACGGTAGCGCCGCACCTCCGGATCCACTCTTATATGTTCGGGCAGTTTCTCCCACAATCGTTCCACGTAGCGACGGAAGTGCTTTAGCAAGATTACTTTCGGGATAAACCGCAATTGATCGGTGGTGAAATCGAGAATATCGTCACCGTCTACTAGTAGAATAAACATCTCGATTCAAAGCGCGCGATTCGCTACTGCGCGATTGACGGCAAGCTATTCGTATATAAATAAAAAGATCTCGCCCTGCCTCGCGCGAGTGTACCGCGCACGCGCGCGGCGAGAGGAATGCGCTTCGTGCGGCAGCCGATCGCGATAAGGATGACGAACCTCGACGGTAAAGCGCGACCGTCGGAGGAAGCGCGCAGACACGGTTGTCTATTACCGAGCGCTATTCGCTGCCTCATTTGCGGTCCCTCTAATTGTGGTAAAACGAACGCGCTGATAAGTTTGTTGGAGAGCCCGCACGGCGTACGCTTCGAGAATGTTTACGTTTACTCATTGTCATTGCAGCAGCCTAAATATCATATGGTTTCCTAGTGATCGACAAAGATAGCGCGCTTCGCGCCGGCAGATACAGACAAGGGTTTAACGGCTTCGCCGTACCGTAGAGCGATCCGTCGTCGCGAATACGTCGAACGCGTCGATCGGTCTCTCTCCCGCGAGCGAGAAGAATCGATTCGTTAATCACGATGGCTGCGACGGATATCGGCAAACGAGAGAAGACGGCGAAAGAGATCGCTAAGACGCGCGCATCGATTCGTAAAAAACACAGAGCGTTAAAGACCGGCAAAATGGAGAACGAGATCGCGATGTAGAGCTGTTTCAAGCTGATCGTCGAACCGCTGCGGCGCATCGCTGAACGCGCCGAGCGAGACGAGACCGGGCGAGACGAGATTAAACGCGAGACGATAAAGCGAGACGAGATCGACGCCTCGCCCGTAACGACGAGCGTCGAGGAAAAATGGAAGGAGGAAGAGTTGACTCCCGCTTGGAAAAAACCTAAAGTGAAACGAATACGAGCGCAACGACGATTAGACGCCGTTTCTACTCCGTTAAACGAAGCGCGAAAGGCGCGATGCTCGGCAATAGGCGATTCGATGTAGACGCGGATGACTCCATACTTATAGATGAAATTAAATACATCGGTACTCCCGGTTTGTACTAATTGATCTTTATGAAAAATCCTGATAGTCTCACATACATGGAAAAGGATAAATTAACATACAAGAGTATATTGTTAACAACGAACGCTCATAAACGCGACCATGATGCTAGAAAATCTGTTTTAGGAAATAAGGGATACAAATACAAGTTCGTTATCGCTCCGCTTATCTACGCCAGCGGCGCGAAAAAGACGGGCGCGGGTCGCGTACCGTCGACCATGCGAGTCACGGACGATAGAATCGATTACGTTCATTAGGACGATCCGAACGAATTAGTGGATCGTCTGCGATTGCTGGACGCTTCGCGTCGAGCCGGCAACAACGCTCACGAAAACGAGATTCTATCGATAATCGAGGAGCTTCACAAAACGGGAGCGATCGTATAAATCGAATCGTCGCATCGACGATCGTCGCAGTCGTACGCGGGATTCGCGATGTCCGTGAGCAAATTCGGTACATCTCTAAAAAAACCGCGGCTACGACGCGAGAACCGGAAGACTACGTCCGGCTATCGAGTCTCTGCGAAATTACGTGCGCGATAACGCGCTGTGTTTAAGCTCTTCCGTCGAGTACGACGCGAAAAAGCGCAAGATAAAACGTTTGGCTAAGCAAGAGGAGGACGCCGACGCGACGAGCAAAAGCTACGTTGAAGGAATCACGTCGCAATTGAGAAAAGACGCGGACGAGGCAGGGAAAGGCGTCATTCTACTATTCACGAGACTCACCCAGCTCGATAATGCTCTGGGTAAACGAATAGACGCCGCGGAGAGTTTTGTTTCCAAGATTGAAGCGCGCGACGACGTTCTGAGTGAACGGATAGACACCGTGGAAAATTCCGTTTCGAGAACAGAATCGAACACTAATGCTCTAGATAAACGGATCGATGCTTTGGATAAACGGATCAACGCTTTAAGCGATCGGATCGATGCTGCAAAAAATACGATATCGCTCAACGCGGTGGAGTCTTCGACGAAAAGCGCAAGCGACCGTAAAATACTGTTCAATCAGGGTAAAATAATACAGGAACTAACCCAATAATCGCGCGTTGCGGCGAATTCCGCGGCGAAAATACGAGAATTGGAAAATTCAACATCGCGATTGAAGAGAGACGCGGACGAGTTATCTGGGAGAGTGAGGGAACTAGCGAAGATTCGCGAGACCGGTGGCGACGCTCGGAGCGGCAAGCCGCTCGAGAGAGAGATCCCGCCCAACGTCATCCTTGAGAGAAAGAGAAGAGAATTATGAGCGCCGAAAAATGAAGACTAGTCGAGGAACTGCATGCTCCGGCAAGAAGAAACTTTCCGCGTCGTCGCGTCGCGATACGCGGGTACGACGACCTGTGGCAGGCGAATGTGATCGAGATGCGTCCTTACGCGAGACTCAACAAAGGCCACAACTACATACTTACCGTTATCAACGCATTAAGCAAATACGCGTGGGCCGTACCGCTTAAAAGCAAGAGCGCGAACGAGGTTACCCGAGCGTTATTCAAGATAGTGCGAGACTCTAAGCGGTGTCCGAAAAATCTGCAGACCGACAAAGGAAAGGAATTCTACAACGCCGAGGTGTGAAAATTGGCGGAAAAGCGCGAAGTGAATCATTACTCGACGTACTCGGTGATGAAGGTTCGAATAACCAAGATACAACGGACTAATCCCGTAACGTATCTGCTGAAGGATTCGCGTGGATAACCGATCGCCGGAAGATTCTAAGAGCACGAGTTGCTGCGCGTCAACGATCCCGACGTGTATCTCGTGGAAAAGGTGCTGCTCGAAGAGGCAACGAGGTTTACGTGAAATGGCTGGAAATGGACGAGTCGCACAATTCTTGGATAAATAAAACGGCTGTATTATGATAAAAATGTATTTTTATTAAAAAAACTACATATATTAAATAAAATTATTCGTTAGAAAAATAAAAATTATCACGAACTTTTCGCGTTCCATACGGGTTCTCTCTCGCGCTCCATACGGGTTCTCTCTCGCGTTCCATACAGATTCTTTCTCGCGCCGCTACGCGGCCGCCACGTCCTGCGTTCTCTCTTTCGCGCTTTAAACGAACTCTTTTTCACGCTCTATATGAATTCTTCATCGCGCCGCTACGCGAACGTCATATCTCGCGTTAACCTTTTTGCGCGTTGCTCTATATAAAATGCTTCCGAGAACGTAATAAAGAGATCGTGAAAATGTCCGCTCTATTCTATTTGCAACAAATCTTGACGCAAATTGGGTTAACTACTCTAACCACGATAAATCTTGGTTGGAGTAGCTTGCATAACTTGCGTCAAGATTTGACGCACATTGGACAGAATGGAGGTTTTCCACGATTTTTTATATTGCGAAAATACTCAAAAAAACTCGCGCGAGTCCGTCCTTCTCGCGTTCCATACGGGTTCTCTCTCGCACTCCATACAGATTCTTTCTCGCGCCGCTACGCGGCCGCCACATCCTGCGTTTTTTCTTTCGCGCTTTATACGGACTCTTTTTCACGCTCTATTGGAAAAGAAAACATCCACCGCGGAAAGAGGGGCGCTAACGTAGCATAACAAATATGGCCGCCGCGTCGACAGTATTAGCATTAGCTTTATATAGGTAATTATGTGAAAAAATTAAAAATTATTGTTGATTTTACATGAAAAAT